TAATTAATCGATGTCACGTTATCCAAGCCAGAATCGATTTTAATCGATAAATCGATCATCAAACCTCGGCAGTTTGTCTGGAGCGTACAGCTGTGAGTTAACACAAGCAAACTCACTTCAGCCTCAGACTGTGCAGTTAACTGTGTACCAAAGTGCTTTAGAGTCAAATGTGAAGGCCGACAGGTGTCACACACCAGCTAATCTGCAGCAGATCAAGCTTTGATGAACTGAAGCTGTAAAGAAGAGCAGGCCAGACTTCGTCCACAGTGATGTGAGGGTCAGGGGTACATTAATAATTAAATCTAGAAAGCTGGCTGTGCTTCGTTTCTCTGTGTGTTTGGACACGTGTAATAAAATGACAACATGTGTGGATATAAAGTAAAGACTGTGTTTTGTGTTGTAGATAATGAGGAGATAGCTCTCTTCCTGCTGCAAAACGGAGCAGGCTTCTCTTCATACACCCTGATGGACCATCCAGCCTTCAGCAGACGCATCCTCAGACTGAAGCTGCAGGAAACATGCGAGGCAGAAGGAGACCAGGTCTGTGCTGCTGATCCAGTGAATGCATCAGGAGATCACTGCTGTTGATCAGATTTTTATTTCTTATCTCCATGTTTGATTTCATGTCCTGTCAGACATCTACTCAGCATCTCTGCAGGACTTGGTTATAGCACGGAGAGTTTATACTTATTTAGGACGGTAACTTCATTGTTTTATTGTGTGGGAGAGTAAATGTTATTAACCTGTTTCCACCAAAACTGCCAACCTTATATGGTGACCACAACTGTCAAAACATAATTAAAGCTCTAATAAATTAGGGGCTGCAGGGGGACGTAACGGCTGCTCCCTCAAAAGGCTCCTCTAGGACCCCCACATTTATTAAAAGCCCCTCTGAAGCCTTCAGGTCCTTCACCCACAAACCTGGAATAAAGGTAAGAGCTAACAGAAGCACAGTGTTCACATCTCTAAGCATGGCTGGGCATGAGGATTTAAAGTCGCCACACTGAACACACAGAAAGTAACATGTGACCAACACAACGGAGCACAACAGTCAAACACAAAATGATCACCTGACCTGTTACAACACAAAACCAAACGTAGCAACAAATAATCACAAGTGTTCTGTTGTCTGCACCACACAAGTGGTCACGTACACGTGGGCCTATACCACAACAACTTACTTTAATGCAGC